ACATATGCGATGCTTGCTATGTGTAAGCAAATCAAGGTAAGGCATTTGGAGTGCACCTCATGTTCTAGCATCAAGTGAAATAGGGCTGGCTGGGCTGCTTGACTTAAATTGACATTTATATTAACATGATTTGCAGTCTGCAATTCAGAAGGAACAAAAGAAGACTAGGGAGGCATTTCAGTAGCTCAACTTCACTTTCAAGCGTCTCCAAGACTTTGCTCATTTACGGACAAATGGCAGGTTTCATCCAGATGCACCACAAGGCAACTATGACAATCTTCCTCACAAGATTCTTTTCAATATCAGTAACATCTCCCAACTCTACATCCTCTGCCTGATCAAACTGCTCATAAATCCATGTTGGAAAGTATATCTGAGTAAGTGTACCTAATAGGCATGAAATTATTTTGTTTTTGTAGGAACTCTTCAATTATGTCATCCACAGACAGATGCCTCCTCTGAAGTTTGCATACAACTATCACAAGCAAGATGGATATCCCTTACAGGCAACAGAGCTCCAGTGAAAATAATTGCTCATTCTCAAGAAAAGAGACAGACACAGATCAATATCTACAAAGTGTATCTTTTGACATTAGAAGTTGAAAAGGAACTGCATCAGATGTGAAAAATAGATCTACCATGGGATGTTATTAGATTTTTATGACTAACTTTATTCTAGATCATCAGAAAAGTTGTGTTCTCGGAATCAATGATGTTTTGGAAACCTAACTGTATTCTACAGTGCACAACTAAGACACAAACTTTAGTTACATTTTTCATAATAAATCACTCCTAATTAAAATCAATAATATTTTCAATTTATTTAAAGCATTTATCAAATTATTCATGCATGCTTCCTAATTGAGAAACAATATAGTATAAACAATATGGTATAAAATGACCAACAACTTCTTGGTCCGAATAGAAAGATTTCAGTTCCCCTCAAGTAAGGTCTCGAGTTCAAGTTTTGTGAAAGGAAAACAGGCACTAGAAGAGCTTTCCCACTTGTGGGGTTCAACACAGCTCAATTCCAGATTAGTCGGCCAATGTAACTTTCAGATATCAGGAGGTTAGTAACACCAAATAAAAAATAGTACAAAATGGCCAAAAAAAAATATAGCATAAACATAAAGAGTCTGTCAATGACGAATATCTTCAAGTTATAAAAACCAGGAGAGATGCAATAGAAGCTTTTCTCAGATTTTCTTATGTTCTAGAATTTGTGATACTTAATCTAATCCTACCATTCATGCCCATAAGTTAAATATTTTTCTAGAAATTTTCTTCTATTTGCACACATCATTGTTTTCAATATTTTATATGAACTACAAATATTTCAGATTCCTACATTAGTTAGGAAATTATACATAATGGTATACAATTACTTTCAAATAAAACCTGACACATACCTGTTATTCCAAGACATTTAATATAAGTACCTGTTACCAGAAAAGAGAAAAAAAAAAAGGGGACCATGTTTACACATGAATGGTTAAATATTGGGAAGGAGAAAGCAAAATGAAAGGAGTATAGTTCATCAGCACTACTAAAAGCATACTGTTTAGTGGAAAATTCGTGTTATCCTTTACATGGGGGCCACCCAGAAGCAAAAATATAAAGCTGTCCAGACGATTCTAATTCATACTTCACTGGTCCTAATCTACAATGTTAAAT